ATTACTACAAGCTGTATTACAACCTACATGCACCCCTTCCATGCTGTGACCACCACTGGATGGCTTCACCGATGCCATATCCTTCTCAATGGCCTTACTGGAGCCCTTGGGGTTCCTATACAAGACACCGCAGTGCTCAACCCAGCTCTGACAAACTGCCTATTTCCTATACACCATGCACAACCTCATCAGCACAAAATCCTCTCATACCAGGTCCTCAAGAGGGCCAGGCTGTGGAGGAATCACCACCAGACACATCACCTCTGACAAATTCATCGTCCTCACCTGATGAGGCTGTGATGTGTCCTCCACCTTTGGCTGCTGATGACTTTGCTCACTTTAACGAACTCTTTAGAAGAGTCACAGCAGAGCTCAAGATCACCACTGAGGGGGTCACTCAACCACAGCATGAGCTCACAGACATCCTTCAAGCCTCTCCGTCCTCCAAAATAGCTCTCCCCATCAATCCGGCTAGCCTAGACAAAACCCACATGATTTGGCAAATCCCGGTATCGATACCACTTACATGCAAGAGGGCAGACAAAAAATATTATGTGTCCTCTAAGAGTTGAGAGTTTTTATTCACCCATCCAACACTGAACACTTTTGAGTGGAGGTGACACATCAATGAGCCAAACAGAATTGTTTTTGTACCACTCTGCCAGATAAAGACAGCAAGCGATTAGACCTCTTCAGTCAAAAGGCCTATATTTTGGCAACTTTACACTTTAGGATCTCGAATTACTTAACCGTGCTGGCAAAATGTGATTTTAGGAATTATTCTAAACTGCTGCACATTATTTCACAGGCAGCCCTCCACACTAGATGCTGCAGACATAGTGGCTAGAACCACTGCCACTGCAGTTTTGATGCACAGGGCATCGTGGTTCTCTCCGGCCACATTCTCTTGCGAAATACAAGCCACCATCAAGGATTTGCCCTTTGATGGGCAAAAACTCTTTGCCAGCAAAACCAATGAGATCCTTAATACAATGAAGGATTCACGTGCCACCCTTTGCATCCTGGGCATCCATATGCCTGCTAACAGACGTAAGCAGTACCACGACCTCGGTACTTTACTTACCCCAACCAACATTCAGATTCCAATCCAAATAGAAACCGAGCTCAGCCTCAGAGACACCGACAGAGACACTCAGCTTCAGCCCCCAGTAACCATGTGCACATTCCAAAACCCTCTCTGCCCATTCTATCACCAGTGGGCCGATGTCACCACAGACAGATGGGTGCTTGACATCATCCTGTTGGGATACACCATTCCTTTCCTCTCCAAGCTCCCTATGCACCCTCCCATCCCATCCCCCTTCAGGGACCCCTGTCACGAGAATCTTTTATGTCAAGAGGTGATTCATTTTCTAGATCTTGAAGCCATAGAACCGGTCTCAGAACCGGTCTCAGGGGATCCGGTTTCTATTCCCATTATTTCCTAGCTCAAAAGAAGTCAGGGGGATGGAGACCAATCTTAGAATTCTGCAACCTCAACAAGTTTGTCAAGATGCAACACTTTCACATGTCACTCTATCCATGATTATCCTGGCATTGCTATGAGGGGACTGGTTTTCAGCCCTCAACCTCCAGGACACAGATTCTCATGCACCTGGCTCACAGAAGATTCTTAAGGTTCATGGTAAGTCCACATCACTACCAATATTGGGTCCTTCCATTTGGCCTGTCTACAGCCCCTCACATTTTCTCCAAAGTGCTCGCTGTCACCACAGCACACCTTCACTTGATGGGAATAATCATATTTCCTTACCTTGACAACTGCCTCCTCAAAACCACATCACGCTCCAAGGCAGTCTGTGTTACAGTAACAACTATCCATTGTTTTAAAAACCTGGGTCTTCGCATAAACTGGGAAAAGTCATCTATCCACCCATCCCAGACCATTCAATTCATTGGTGCCTGTCTACATTCCACAGTGGCAAGAGTCTACCCGCCTCATGACAGATTCCTCACCATCCAGTCTCTAGCCACAATGCTGAACCTTTCTCCAAACACTACAGCCAAGGACTGCCTTCAACTTCCAGGGCACATGGTAGGTACCACTTTTGTAGTATTGCATGCCAGATTGCACATGTGCTGCCTACAGATTTGGTTTTCGGTGGTATACAAACCCTTAAAACATCCCATGTCTCTCTGGCTTACCATACTACTCATCATGAAGACGTCCCTTCTATGGTGGACCAAACCATCCAGTCTTTTGAGAAGAGTGCCATTCCTTCAATTGCCCCCCCTACTGCATGCTTACCGTAGATGCTTTCCACACGGGCTGGGATGCCCTTTTCTGTGACCAGACCACTAAGGGTCTCTAGTCAGTCCAGGAGATGGACTTGCACATGTGATACACAAAGCATGCAGACAAACTCCATCACGAGCAAACATGTATGTGTCCTTACGGACAATGTCGCCTGTGTATTCTACATCAACAGACAAAGGGGTGCCAGACCCCGGTTCCTATGCACCAAGACCATAAAGTTGTGAATTTTTGTATCAACCATAACATCCTCCTTTCTGCAGTTCACATCCCAGGGGTCACCAACGTAACTGCAGATGCTCTCAGCAGACATTTCCCTCAACATCATGAATGGGTACTCAATTGTTCTATGGTACATCTTCTGTTCTTCAAATGGGGTCACCCATTGACAGGCTTGTTTGCCATGCCTCACAATACCAAATGCATACTCTTTTGCTCCAGAGTGGGCATTGGGAAGGGATCCATCAGAAACACCTTTCACCTCCCATTGAAGCATGACTTCTATCATGCTTTTCCCCAATACCACTCCTCGACAAAGTAGTCCACAACATCAGGACAGATGGGACCATAGTCATACTAATAGCCTCCTTATGGCTGAGACAACCCTGGTACCCCTTCCTGCTCATGATTTGTTTGTTCTCCCATCACTCTCCCACTCCAGCGCAATCTTCTCACACTGGGCCAGATGACACAAACCTACCCAGACCTACGCAAACTGCATCTAACAGCATGTCTTCTCTTTGGCTCTCCCAATCTGAACTAGGGCTTCCTGAGCAGATACACACAATCCTCATTTTC